CACGTGATTTGGACTGGAGAGATGGCTCAGCAGTTAAGAGCACTGGCTGCTCTCACAGAGGACCCAGGTTCACCTCCCAACACCAACACGTGGCTAACAGTTGCTCAAAGCTCCAGTTTCAGGAGATCCGACACCCTTTTCTGACCTCAGCAGACAGCAGATATTGCACACACATGATGTACTTACATACATACCAGCAAAACACTCATACATACAAAATAAAAATAAATCAGAAAAATTAAAACACAAGTAATCCATTTTATCTTGAACACAATATCTCCTGTGGCTTTCAATAACTATAGAATAAAGGCCTGTTATGATGTCAACATTAACTAAGTGCAGTGATTCACACCTGCAGTACCAGCTACTTAGGAGGCTGAGGCAGGAGGATTGCTTTAGCCTAGGAGTTTGGATGTAGCCTAGTTAATATAGTGAAGACTCCATCTGTTAAAATAAAAAATGTTGGGGGCTGGAGAGAAAATACTCAGCTGTTAAGAGCACTGACTGTTCTTGCAGAGGACCTGGGTTCGATGCCCAGCTAACAGCTGTCACTTCAGTTCGGGGGATCTGATGCCCTCTTCTGACCTCCTCAGGCATTGTACGACACAGGTATACACTCATACACATAAGATAAAAATAATAAAATATTTTAAAAATTAAAATGTTAATTTTTTTATGATATTGACTTGATTATTCAGAACTCTAAACTGTTAGAAAAAACTGTTTTCACTTGCAGAGATTGTATTTGATTACTAAGCTAATGTGGCAAAGGGAATGGAATCCACTTTGGAACCTTGTGCCCAACCCTTAAATAACTTTATTTGAGCTCTTGCTTTAGAATGGGAATTGGGTGGGGAGATTGACAGGAGCCAAGAGCTGGGGACGAAGCTCTTTAATGGGACATAATAATAGGCACATTCTCTGGGCTACTTGGTAACAAACACATAAATAGAAAAATAGAAATAGTCCTTCAAGTCATTTGGAGCAGAATTTTAGCTGCCACTGAGAAGTTGATTCCTGATGTTTGGAAAGGTTTTCTAGGACAGCGAGCATGGGGACAGTGGGCTTTTCCTACAGGAGACAGTTAGACATGGTGGGGTCTAGGTACCTGCTTTTGCTGGGGAGGTGGGGATGGATAATATTAGGGGGAGTTTGGGCTCTTTTTCTTTTTTATTATGATAAAGTATGTATAACATAAAGCTTAATTTTTAAAAATTTTGGACTGCATTTTCTTTTATATTTAATTTTTTCTTTATATTTGATAATTTCATGCATGTATACAATGAAATATAATCATATCTACCCCCAATTTCACTCCAACTCCCCTCATATCCCCTTCAACCCCCCCCCCAGCTTCCCGCTGTCCAGTTAATGCTGCCCATATGTGTATGGGTATGTGGATATCCCCTGGAGCATGGGACTCTACTGGTGGCCACATCCTCAAAAAAGAATGCTTCTCCCTTCCCCAGCAGCTGTCCACTGCCAATAGCTCCTCAGAAAGGGTGGGGCCTGGAGACCAGCTACACTGTCTATGCTGGAATTTCGGCAGGCTTGAGCTTGTGCAGGTCATGTGCGGGAAACCACAGCTCCCGTGAGTTCATGATGTGATAATCATGTCATATCCAGAAGACAGTGTCTCACAGCACTCCTCCCCGTCCTCTGACTCATGTACTTTCTGCCACCTCTTCCACAGTGTTCTCTGAGCCTTGGTGGTTGGGGCTTAACATAATTGTTTTATTCAGGGCTTAGCACTCAGTCTCTTTTTCTTAGTACTTTGACTAGTTATGCATCTCTCTGTTGACTGCAGTTTACTGCAGAAAGAAGCTTCTCTGACCAAAGCTGACCAAGGTCTATGGGTATAAAATACTTAGAAGGCAATTTTACAGCATGATTATTTAGCAGAATGAGCATAACAGGTTTTATCCTAGGGCCTCTAACTTCCCTGGCCATGGGCGTTTGACCGGGATTATAGTGCCAGGCATGAAATTCCTTCCTGTAGTACAGGCCTCAAATCCAGTTTTCTTTATTGTGTGTGTGTGTGAGTGTGAGTGTGTGTTCATGCATGCCATGGAGGTCATCTCACTAGCCCTAAATATTGATTTTAAGTGTAGTCTTCATTGACATTAAGCACATTCGTAGTCTAGTGCAGTATCGTGTATTGCCATGATCCTTCAGGATCTGAGCCTGGTGTTTGCAGATTCTTGGCATCTTATTCAAGAATGAAATAAAGGTGCACACAGATTGCAAAGCAGCAATAATACGTTATTCAGATTGGGCAAACTGATAGTACAGGTTAGAATAGAATACACTGTCAAAGTTGACAGCAAACCACATGAGTGAAGGTACTTAGTGACCCTGACTGTTGTTTGGGGTTTCCTTTTATGGAGTTCAGAAGAAGGAGTTTGGTTGCAGAGGGACATAGTTTGCGTGGTTCTCCCTTTGGACTGACAGGTTAAATTATATAACCATTCTTTCCTGCATATATCCCTTCCCATGATGCATCTGATTTTAATCATCTGCATGCCCAATTATACATAGGCATAAGATGGTAAACGGGATTTTTCCATAAAAGTTCACTTTGAGGACACCGTTTTGCCTGATTGTGCATGTGCCCAAAACTAGTTCAGGCCAGATTGGTCTTCCTACTCTCCTCCAGGGACATAGCTTGAGTGAAATTGAAATCTAAGTCTTTAACAGGAGGGAAACTTAGCCCATTGTTCAGAGTAGGAAGTACATGCAGGTGGGGGTCCTAGGTTGCTAAGTGGCTGCTAGATGCAGTGCTGAGAGGTGTGTGTGCATAGTACATGCAGAAGGGTCTTAGGCTGCAAGTGCATTGTTAGAAGAGGGATCTGTTTGTACATAGGCCAAAATAAATGGAGTCCCAGGTTGCTAAGCTATTTCCTGTGCTTACCTGTCTCAATGTGGCGGTGCTGGGAGGACCAGAACAATGTAAACTTTCTCAGACACTCCACCCTAGTGCCCACTTGAGGCTCTGCCTTTCTTGAAAGGAGAATAGAGTTTCACTTTAGAGGTCTCGAAGATGAATCAAGATGAATCCAAAGGTGTCTTTTCTCTAAGCCTATATTTACTCTGTCCAGATCAACATGATTGAGCGGTTGAGGTCAGCTGCTGCATTCATCATGGACCTCAGCGCAGAGCAGGCTCCAGGACAGAAATCCTAATCAGCTCATGGTCCCAGAGCCACTTCAATGCTGTCGTCTCTTATTCTCTCTCTTTCCGACTGTGTCCCCTGTGCTCATGAGTGTCCCCTGTGCTGATGCTTAGTTACCTGGGCTAGGGGATGTGGAGAGGCAGGCACTGTGGGATGTGGAAGTCAGCCTGGCAGGGAAGCTTCCAGGGCTCAACATACCCACAGGAGGCTCCCGGAGGAGTTCTCCATGGCACGTTCTTTCCCTTTGAAGAAAGAAGTTAGTTTCAGACACACAATTTTCTTGTTAACGGTGGGCTTTTCTTCCTTGGGAAGCTGCCATCTGCCATCAGGTGGGCCCCCAGGGGTGCATTTGGGGTTCCTGTTTTACCGCAGGATGCTGCACCCCACTGCAGCCTTCTCTCGCATCACTGGAAGTCATTTTCTGGTGGAAGGAGAACTGGTACATGAACACGTTTGATCTTACTGAGCGGTGGAAGGGTTTATTTGTCAGGTCAATGTTTTGCCTCGAGGCTCTTTCTCACGGTCAGTGCTTTGGCAGTTCTACAAAGAACCCACCCTCCATCTTCCCTTCAGCCCTGTCCTCTTGCTTTCTCCTCCTCTCTCTCCTTTCTCCTGTCTTTTGAAGTCTTCTTGTTTTACAGATTGTTTCATACCTCTTTAAATATCCTTATTTTCCAAGTAATTCCCTGGAAATGCTACCCAGTCAGAAGTCTCAGGAGCTCTCTGTGTTTGTATGCATGTACCCACGTGTGCGCATGTGTGTGAATGCACGTGTGTACACATAGGTATGTGTCCTTCCTTCAGACACTTAAGTGTGTGTTGGTCTGTTTTGCTAACACCGTCTTCCTGTGTGTGCAAGGTGGCCTGTAACTGACAATCTTCCTGCCTCGGCTCCCTGAGTGCTGGAATTACAGCTGTGCGCTACAGTGCCCTAGCTGTTGTTTCATTTGTAAAAATGGAATGTGCTAGAAAAGACTCAGACAAGGCTCTGGGCAATGGCTCCAACAGCCACTTTGGAACCTTCCACTTACATAAAAGCAGAATTTGTCCTTCCTCCCCCCACACCTTATTTCCCATCCCTGAAGTGACCCTGGTGACAGCCCCGTCTCTTACCTGTTGACACAAGGACTCACTGAACCAAATCAGGCTAGCTCCTAAGCCCAGGTGACTGTTGTTTCTAGATTTTGTCATCTGTGTGTGTGTGTGGGGGGGGATCTGTATGTATTCATGTGAGTGTGTATAGAAGCCAGAGGTTGACATCAGGTATCCTCTATCATTTCTACCTTATTTTTTGAGACAAGGTCTCTCACTGAACCTGGAGCTCACTGATTGACTAAGGGGAATCCTCCCTGCCTCTGCCTCCCGAGAACTCAGTATATAGACCTGTGATGCCACACCCAGCTTTTTACTTGAGTGCTGGCATCTGAACTCAAGTCCTTGTACTTGTGCAGTAAGCACTGTACCTACTCAGCTGTATCCCCAGACCAATTTCTAGACTTTTTTCTAATAACCACCCCCTTTTCTCAGTCAATTTGAGACTGTTTAGCTATAGTTTTTCCATCCAGGTTGCCATAGGGACAGCAGTGCCCTCATCTAATATTCTGCCATGTCCATTGCAGTTTGAAGAACCCTCTGTTGGGCCTGCCATCCACCCTGGGTAGCCTCCTTCCACATAACTCTCAAGATTCACACACACACACACACACACACACACACACACACACACACACACACACACACACACACCACACGCACACACAGCCAAGCTGAGGAGGAGCTTAACCCCAAACTTTTCAGAGTGCTCATCCTCCGGCTTTTTCTCTTGCAGCTGATGCTTTTTTCAAAGCTGCCATCAGCCTCATTCCAGAAGTCCCAAAGATGATAAACATTGATGGGAAGCTGCGGCCCTCGGAACCCTTCCTCCTGGAGTTCCTGTGCAACTTCTTCTCTACTTTATTAATAGTACCGGTAGGTTGGTTGCCCCTGAGGGTTGTAGGTAGTGTCTTTCTTTACCCTGCCTTACAAACCCTGAGGCCTGAAAGCTCAAGGCTTTCTGTCTGCTCTCCAGTTCAATGTCAGGCTGCCTGTGTTGACAGGCCTCTATCTACACAGTGTGGGCTGCTGGGACAGAGAACCTGAACCTGAGCCGCTTCAGTAGCAGATGTGAAGTTCTTACAGTTCTGAGGCTGGGAGTCTGAGGTCCAGGCAAGCCTCGTTCTGCTGAGGGCCCTGTTCAAGGTGCTGACACCCCTGTTCCTGGGACATCCTTACCTGGCAGAAAGTGAGAGTCAGGGTTGTTCTCTGGCTTTTGAGTAACTGGTCTTCTGAGGCTCAAGTACCTCCCATCCCCACATCCAAACACCATCTACATTAATCAGGGTTCTCTAGAGGATCAGAACCAATAAAATGGGCATCTACTGCAAAGAGGGTTGATTAGATGAACTTACACGTATGAGCATAGTAGTCCAACCTTGGCTAACTGCACGCTGGAGAGGCCGAGAACTGTGTAGCTGCTCAGTCCATGAATCCATGAAGCTGATTCTTCAAAAGCCCTCAGTGTGGCACTAAGGGACTGGGAGATTCCTAGAGAGCCTCTGGTCATCGGTCCACGTGGGAAGGCTAGAGACACTGGGTTCTAATGTCAGGGAAGGTGGCAGAGGCAGTGTAGACGCACTTACACAGGAGTGAAGGCAGTAGGTAAGCAGCACAGCTTTCTTTCTCTGGAAGGAGCTGCTCATTCTTTATCTCTCAGTTAATCTTTCCAGGAAATACCCTTGAAGACTAGCCAACATGCCTGCCTGAGCTGGTTCAAGATCAAATTGAGTTAGAAAAGAATACATAGATTATCACAAATGCCCTGGAAAAATAGTTGCATAGCTGTATTTTAGGGAGATCATTTTTCTTTGGTGTCTTGGGGTTTTTTTTGTTTTTGTTTTTGTTTTGGGCTTTTTGAGACAGGATCTCCCTGTAGCCCCAGCTGGCCTTCAACTCACTATGTAGACTAGGCTGGCCTTGAACTCACGGAGATCTGCCTGCCTCTGCCTCCCTCACTGGGATTACAAGGCTTGCACCACCACGTCCAGCAAGTCTTGAGTTTTTTACTTGCTGTGTTAGAAATAGCATTCCCAGGAATCTGTCCACAGGCTGCATCTGGCTGCCACAGGGAACATGGTACTAAACAGGCTGGGAACTCTCAGTTGAGCTGGGTGTGATATTGCTTCCCTGCAGTGTCAGCACTATGGAGGCTGAGACATGAAGACTTTGAGTGCCAAACAACTACATATCAAAAAAAACCTCCAACCTTAAGTGTGCATCAGGGTTGCCTGACACCATTCCTGGGTCCCATCCCTGAGAGTCTCCCTCAGTAGACTGAAATTGGTCCTTTGTCAACGCCTTCAGAAATCACCACCTTCAGTGATTCAGGAGGGGTGTTCCCAGGACCAAACTTGGACAAACATCACCCTGAGTTTGGGCCATGCAAGTGACTCAGCTCCTGTTGGGTACAGGGTTTCTTTTGGAGTGATGAAATGTTCTGCAGTCGATCGCTACACAACTCTGTATACAAGAACAGTCGCTGAATTGTGTGTCCTGAACGGGTGTATTGTTCCCTGTGTGGATTATATATCTCTGTCAAGCTGAGAAAACAAAAGTGACTCAGCGGTGGATTGTTCTTGTTTGGAGTCCAAGTTCTCAGAGGGGGAGGGATCAGGAGGCCCAGTTTGGGGTGTGCAGACTTGCTTTGATGAGGCCTCTCATCCTGTATCTGTGAGACCCTGGGAGGCCAAGTGAGGGTCAGGTGGTAGAGCTGCAGATTTCCTCCTTGAGTGCCTTCCCTGGATGAGGAGCCCAGGGCTAGGACTTTATTGTCATTGTTTCCTTCCCTGCATAGCCTGGTTATTGTCATATAAGACCAGAGGGAAAAGACACCTAAGTCTTCAGTGAAGCAGTTATCATTCTATGACTGACTGCAATGTCTTTTCCACCTGTACATAGGGCTTCCTGCATGGTAAAAATGTCTGGATTCTCTCTGAAGGTCTTCTCCTCAAAGTCACGAACGTGGTTCAATTCTGACACAATGATTTCATAGCTGTGGGACCCTTGGGGACTGTTTGTAACTCCCTCAAGCCTGATGGTTCATCCTTCAAAGATATCATCAAAAAGCCCACCATACAGGGCTGCTGTGTGGCTTGAATGAAATCATAGCTACAAAAGTGTGTTCAAGTAGAGCCTTCTTCCTTGGGGTTACAAGCCAGTGGCCAGAGGGCAGAATCCAGCTTACAGTCACACTCGCTGGCTGTGGAACGATGGAAAACATTTGAAATGAGTTTCCCACATTAAAAAATTGGTAGGTTGCTAAAACAAAAACAGATTTGTGGCTCCTCTTGAAGAATCAGTTCCTGCTACCATTTGGCTCTGTGTTCCATGACCTGTCTAGTTGGCAACAGCTGGGGAGCAGCTGTCCCAGGTGTGCAGGTTTTGTGTCCTCCCTCCCTAGGTCCCCTGGGCATCTGCAGACCCATTAAACCCCTTGCTGCTGCCTTCCTGGCTCTTCAGGCATCCTGGGAATGGCCTCTACTCTCAGTCAGGCTTCGTTGCTGTTCCTGGTATTGATGCATGTGCTTTGACTTGGATTTGGTGATGATCGTGCTATGAAGAATAGCTGCAGTTCACAGGGTGGGGTAAAGTGGCTGTGTGTGCATGTGCATATCATGTGGCAGCCAGAGGTTGACATCACATCGTGTGTCTTCTTTGATGGCTTCTCCACCTTGTTTTTTTGAGACAGGCTCTCGTTGAACCTAGAACTCACTACACTAGTTGGCCATCAAGGCCCAGGGATCCTCCTGCCTCCCCCTGACCCCAGCACTGGGATTGCAGGTACACGCTGCTGCTCCTGGTTTTGACATGGGTGCTGGGGATCAAGCTGAAGTCCTCATGCTTACACAACAAACAGTTTCCCACCCTGTAGCTATAGTCCTAGACCTGAGGAATGTGCATTTATTTGGCACCATCCCAGAGCCCTTCTGTGGACACTTATATAGCCTCTGGGAATCCTCTCTGAGCCCAATGAAGTAGGAATTATCTGTTTTACTTACAGAGACCTGGAACAGAAAGGGCCGTGTGTGGGGCTACACAGCTAACTGGGGACTTGAGCCTGGGTTTGTCAGCTCCAGGGCCCTCCCTGCAGAGAACATCTGCTGAGTATTTTGTTTGCTCAGGGCCATCAAGGGTTAGCAGCCCCCATTCCTTCTCAGGAGATACAGCATCAGTGCACAGAAGCGCCTCTTACCTGCTCCTCCATTTTCCACTCAGCTGCCTGCAACCAGCCTCTGTCCAAAAATACTAAACATAAAATTCCAGAAATTCATGTTTTTCAATTATGTGTCATTTTGCATAGCGTGATGAAATGTCACCCACCTGGGATGGGAATCATTCCCCACTCCTGTGTGCTACCTGCACGAGAATCTCAGGACACCTGTCAGGCAGTGCCGTGCTCCTCTTCACCTCCCTTTGTTTTACATTAGTACCCAAAGCACAGCAGTAGCGATGCCGTTTGAATCTGCCAAAGAGAGGTGGAAAGTGTTTCCTTTTTGTGAAAAAGTGAAAGTGTCCAACTTAATAAGAAAAAAGCCCTCAACTTTCATTACAGTATGCGGTTATAGTTACTCTATTTTGTTAATTATTGTTAGTCTCTGATCTGGACTCCACTACGTAGACCAGGCTGACTTCGATCTCATGAAGGTCCACCTGCCTCTGCCTCCCAGATGCTGGGATTGAAGGCATGGGCCACCATGCCTAGCTGTGGTGGTTAGTTTTAATTATCAACCTGATACAATCTAGGAATACCTGGGAAGAGTCTCGATGAGGGATTGTCTAGATCAGGTTGGCCTGTGGTCATGTCTGTAGGGGTTGTCTTGATAACCTTAATCAACATGAGAAGATCCACCTATAGTGGGTGGTGCCATTTCCTGAGCAGGGGATCCTGGACTTCTTTTTTCTTTGTTTCTTTTATTTGTTTGTTTGTTTATTTATTTATTTATTCATTCATTCATTTTGGTTTTTTTGAGACAGGGTCTCCCTGTAGCTCCAGCTGCCTGGAACACACTCTACAGACCAGGCTGGCCTCGAACTCACAGAGGATCCACCTGCCTCTGCCTCCCTAGTGCTGGGATTATTATTTTTATTTTATGTGTATGCATGTATTGCCTGCATGTAGGTAAGTGCACTTGTGTTGTGCAATGCCTGCATTGGTCAGAAGAGGCTGTCGGATACCTTGGGACTGGAGTTACAGACAGTTGTTAGCTGCCATGTGGGTGCTGGGATTTGAACCCAGGTCTTCTGCAAGAACAGTCAGTGTTCCTAACCACTTAGCCATCTCTCCAGCCCCGATCCTGGACTTCTAAGAGTGGAGATAGTGAGCTGAGCACTGGCACGCATCTATGAATTCACTGCTCTCTACTCCTGACTGTGGAGGTAATGTGACTAGCTAAGTTCCTGCCACCGTGACTTCTGCACAGTGACGGACTGTGACCTGAACTGTGAGCTAATAATTAGTCCTTTTCTCCCTTAAGTTGTTTTTGCCAGGGTATTTTATCACAGCAACAGGAAAATACCGTATCTAATTCATGAATTAAACTTTGTCATAAGTGTGTATGTTTGAGGAAAAAAAAAGTATCCATGGGATTAGGTACTTCCTGTGCTTTCTCGTATCACTGGAGATCTATCCTCTAAGGATAAAAGGGACTTCTGAACTGATGGTTGGCTTTGCAGGTAGGCGGGAGGTTCCACAGGAGTCGCCAAGGCCCAGAGCTGATTGAATGCCCCGTGATCAGATGAGCCACACCCACTGTGAATAGATTTTGCGTGAAAACAATTCCCTATTCTATGTTCACCTGGTTCAGATTGCTTCCATTTCATGTCACAGCTTTTTTTTTTCCCACCAACAATACTATTTATTTATTTATTTATTT